ATATAAACACAGTACTAGATCTCTTCAATATTTTAACAATAATATAATTTTCACACATGAACTACAAAATAACAACAGACTTAATTTCTTGGATGTATCCGTTTACAACACTAATAACTTTGTTCGAACAAATTGGTATAGAAAAACGACATGGTCGGGTAGATACTTACACTATTCTTCCTACTGTCCCAGAAACTATAAGATAAACACTATTATTTCCCTTACAGACCATGCTATTTTGTTGTCTCACCAAACTTTCCATCCACAAAATTTATCCCATCCCTAGTAAAAATAACTCTAATTGAAAATGGTTACCCCAAAAATCTCATTCATTCAGTTATTCAAAAAAGACGAACTTTCTTAAAAACACAAATTAATTCGCCCATACCAGTACTAACATCAAAAACACCAATCTTATTTACTGCACATACCATACCATACGTTGAAGATTTATATTATTATTTTGCCAAAATTTTGTTAGAAGAAAACATTTTAGTATCAGGCTCATCCTTACACTCCTTCAACCAATTCTTTACGAACATTAAATCCCCACCCCATCCAATCTCAATACTAATGTAGTATATTCTGTTTCTTGTAATGACTGTGCTTTTCAAATATTGGACAAACCTCCCAATATGTACACAAGAGAATGAGACAACATGAACTAAGTGTGGTCCACCATAAACAAAAAAATTTCAAAAGTACCCTAGTACAACACTCTATAGAAAACGCCCATCATTTAATTTCACTCCAAAGATTTTATATCACGAAAGTTGCATCTTTAGAAGGTTATTCGCGGAGAGTTGTCTCATCCTCATAAATGTTTCTAACAGTGTCAACATTAGATCAGATCACAACCTATTACATGATTATATTTAAATTTTTTACACACTTTTTGACAAACATTAATATCGACTTCCTTTTAAGATCAACAATTTAAGTATTCACACCCCTGACATATAAAAACACACATACATACAATCTCACATCTCTCGTTCAAGTGTTTACACGTGTTACAAAAGGCACACCAGTTTCATTTAGTTAATTTTCGAAAACCAATCGAACAACATCCAGAGAACAATATTATTTGTGTTTTCAAATAATAATTTTAAAAAAAGACAAATTTTTTAGTAATTTTGATTTACAAAATCTAATTATCGGCGGAAAATTAACTCACAAAATCATTTTTGTTAAAAAAGCTTGTTTAGTGAAAAAGTGCTAACAAATATTCAAACATACAGGTAATTAATTCAACTTTGTCATTAACCTTTTCTTAAAAAATTTCCATAACTTTCAAAAAAATTTTCTATTATGTTTAATATCCTGTTCTGATAATCCACTCATTTATTTTATCATTTTTATTTTGAACATATTATCATATTTCTGTACATTATTATATATTTTTTACAATTTAATTCATTATTTAAGAAAAATCTATTTTCTTTTCCTAAACATATTGTTTGCTAAAATCTCATCAAGATCATGTTTTTGACAGTGTCCTGAAGATGAACGTACCTAGTTCCGAAAGGTCGACAATAAACAAATAATTAAATAAAGAAATTGTTTTTTTAAAAACTTTTCTTGTTTTTTATTTTGTTTATTTTTGGATTCTTGTTCGAAACTCTACAAAATATACACAAATCCAAGACTCTACCATTCAATATATATATATATATATAATATATATATATATCGTTTTTACTTGGTGTTACTGCCCGATTATAAATAACTCATCAAAGTATATATCAAAAGCCAAAC